TGAAATCTTAAGCAACCTTAAGGACGATGGTTGATGATGATGGAAGAACGATTCCGTTTCTGACTGAACGCAAATCGATCGAAGAATATTTAACAGAGAGAAAGAGAGAGGGAGAGAGAGAGAGAGAGAGAGAGAGAGAGAGAAACCCCTGATCGATCTGTCCTTCGATTAGTTTACTCGGATATACTCTCACGGACTCATCCGTCTTCCACGTAGTACAAAGTTGTACAACTTAACGAGTAAAAAAAAAAAAATAACAATAATAATAATAATAATAATAATAATAATAATAATAATAATGTCTCTCGTTGTCCAAAAGTAAATAATTTCAGAAAAGAGAGATTGAAAAGAAAAGAAAAAAAAAAAAGAGGAATCGAGTGAAACCAGATTAACCAGATTAGATGTAAAGTCCAATACTTATTCGTCACCTTGAATAAATTTTTATATCGTTATTACGTAGATTATGTTCTCTCGTCGTTGAAATCTTTTAACGAGTCTCTTGATAGAAGATAAAAATTGGATTGGAAGAAACAGAGATAATCCTCACGCGAAAATCCAACACGTTAATAATGTTACAAACGTGCAACGTCTGTTTCTCGCGATTTCACGTGGCAACGTCTCGCTCGATCGATCGATCGTCCGCGTTTCGAGGAAAAGGAAGCCTCTACCCGTCGAGCGTGCAACCGCCTTACGGTTATCCTATACTCCAAATCCACCCGAGTTTACATAGAAATTACAAGAAGGTTTTCCAAGCTTTTGCCAGACGTTGCACGTTGGTCACGAATCTGAATTCGAAATATCGGTCGAGGTCGACGATGAGAAAAACGGAGATCAGTTTTAAAAGATAGAACCGAGTCGATGTTTCGTGCGTTATTTCCAATCGTTTCTTAAAAAAAAAAAAAACCAAAGATGGATAGATTTAAGTTCGTTGGAACATTTGTAAACGGAAATGGAAATAACGCAATAGCATCGTCCCCTAGAAATTCCAATATTATAGTATCGAGGAGATGAAAACTGATTAAAAGAAAAAAGTGTTGAAAAAAACAAAAATATAGAAAGATTCGAAGAACAGAGTACAATGGCGATATCATATCATTAAGCCTTAATCCGTCGAGTGTGCTGTCCAAACTTCGAATACGATTAAAGAGGAAGAACGAGAGAAGAGGAGAAAGAGAAGAGAAGCAAAGAAGAAAAAAAAAAAAAAAGGATACGAAGGGAGATCAAAGAGATCGAGCGATCGATCGACCGTGTTAATATTCTCGAGAGAATAAGCCGAGCGTGTTCGATCAATCGAATCCGTTCGACAAACAGTCGTTTAAGCATGTGGAAGACATCGAACGAGGATCTAAACGATCCGTGGAGAGCGTGAAATCGAATCGAATCGCATCTAATCGATCGGCGCGGTGTGCAATACTATTGTTCTGCGAGTAGTGTACGAGTATGCGAATGTATGTACGATTGTTTTTCTGTGCGTGTGCGTGTGTCCTCTTGGGAACAACTCGGCGAAGAATGGTCGAGAGAGAAAGAGAGAGAGAGAAAGAGAAAGAGAGAGAGAGAGAGAGAGAGAGAGGAAAAAGGGAAACGGAAGAGCATCGATGGCGTAAAAGGTAGCGATATTTTTTTTTTGTTTCTAGTGTCTCTCGCGATAGGCGCTTTTTATTTTTCTTCGTCCATAACGAACACGTTATTCGCGACGATATTATCAATGGAAATCCAAAGTCTGCATAGTTGAACCGGTTGATTCTTTTGTAAATTCTACTACTGTGTGAGGCGGGTTGTACATAGGCGGGGTTAAGGAGGGAAGGGAAATCGTAAGAAGGATAAGTGTGAAGGGAAAAAAAGGGAAAAAAGAAAAAAAAAAAAAAAAAA